GCGGCATGTGGGATCGTCCCAGACCAGGGCTCGAACCCTTGTTCCCTGCATTGGCAGGCAGATTCTCAACCACTGCCCCCCCAGGGAAGCCCCGTCTTGGAGGCTTTAAATCTAAACTTTTTTTTTTTTTTTTTTAATTTTTGGACTCACTGCACGGTATGTGGAATCTCCCTGACCAGGGATCTCCCCGACCAGGGAATCGAACCTGCGCCTCCTGCAGTGGAAGCGCAGTCTTAACCACTGGACCACCAGGAAAGTCCCATCTAAACGTATTTTAATCCTCAAAAATGAGCCCCCCGCCACGGTAGAAGCTTCTGTTGCTGGTCCCCATTTTACAGATGGGGAAAACCGAGGCAGAGAGAGGTGAATCCTGGTCCTCAAAGTCACACAGATCGGAAGTGGGGAGATTGCAACGAAGTAGTCGGATTTCCAAGGGAGGGAATGAAAGCCAGCCCAGGAAGGGCTATGTGGGCCAGGTGATCCGGGAAGCTGCAGGCCTCCTCTTGCCCAACAGCGTGATTTGAACACTGACTTAGCATGCCCTTTCCTCCTCCACCAGCCACCCCAAAGGGCGGGCCTGGTGTGAATCACCCAGACTGTCACGCACCACTTACTATTTTAGTCGCTGACTCAGATTTTGTTGAAGGTCTGCTTCCGGCTTCCCTGCCGTGACATGAAACTTGGGGAGATTGGATTCTCCGGGTGGGGTTGTGGAAACAGACAGTTTCTTTTCTTTTCTTTTTGGCCGCTGTGGTGTGGCTTGCGGATCTTATTTCCCTGACCAGGGAACGAACCTGGGCCACGGCAGTGAAAACCATTCGACCACCAGGGAATTCGACCACCAGGGAAGTCTCAACCTTTCGACCACCAGGGAATTCCCAAATAGACGGTTTCGGATCACTAAGGCTAGAGTCAGCTGCAGTTAACAGGCCATTTTTGCAGTTGACCAATATTTATTGAGCTCCTACTGTGTGCCAGGATTGTCCCAGACACTGGGGTGCAGTGGGCGCGAAAACAGATGTGAACCATCCCCTGCTCTCTTTTCAGTCGCAGGCAGAGGCGGAGGGAAGGGAGCGGTGAATGAATCATCAAATGAGGAAGCAAGATAATTTCAGAAACTGAGGAGATTTCAGAAGAAATAAACTGGGCATGCACGGTGATGGGGGTGCCTCAGGAGGAGGAACTTTGGCCCAGGTGGCCAGGAAGGCCTCTCTGAGGAGGTGGCATTAGAGCCAAGACCTGGAGGAAGAGCTTGGGAAGGAAGGGATAGATCTTCTGGGCAGAGGAAACAGGCAGTGCAAAGGCCCTGGGGCAGGACCGTGCCTGCGTTGTTGCATGAACAGCAAGGATGGGCAGAGTGAGTGAGGAGGAGAGAGGGTGGTGAGGACCGGGAGGGGATGGGGCAGGTCATGCAGGGCCTTGTGGGTCTCAGGGAGGACTTGGGCTTTTACCCCCAGGGAGGTGGGACCATGGAGGGCTATGGGCAGAGGAGGGGCGGGGCCTGACTCAGGTGTTCACGGGCGACCTCTGGCTGGGGCGGGGAGGGCAGACTGGGGAGCAAGGGTGGAAGGTGGGAGCCCAGAGGGGACTGGTCCAGGCCAGTGAGGATCGGGGCTGGACCGGGTGGAGGCAGAGGAGGGAGAAGTGGGCCCATTCAGAATGTGAGCCCCTATTTCATCCCTGAGATGTTGTGAGTCGCAAGTCACAGCCCTTTTCCGGGCCTCAACTTTCTCACCTGTACCATGGACATAGTGACCTCCAGTCTGGAACTCCAGTACCTACATGTCCCTGTGTCAACCCAGTATATTTATCTATTTTTATAAATTTATTTATTTATTTATTTTAAAGTTTTGGCTGCATTGGGTCTTCGTTGCTGCGCATGGGATTTCTCTAGTTGCGGCGAGCGGGGGCTACTCTTCATTGTGGTGCACAGGCTTCTCATTGCAGTGGCTTCTCTTGTTGCAGAGCATAGGCTCTAGGCGTTCAGTTGTTGTGGCTCGTGAGCTCTAGAGCACAGGCTCAGTAACTGTGGCACACGGGCTTAGTTGCTCCGTGGCATGTGGGATCTTCCTGGACCAGGGTTCAAACCCATGTCCCCTGCATTGGCAGGCGTATTCTTTCTTAACCACTGTACCATCAGAGAAGTCCCCAACCCCGTATATTTAAAGGATGATCATTTTGAAATCCCTGGGCTAAGGTCTTTATGTGCTGTATGAACACACTTAATCCTCTCAACCGCCCCAGGAGCTAGAAACAATGTTCCCAATTTACAGATGAGGAAAGTGAGGCCAGGAGGGGTGACGTCATTTATCCAAGGTCACACAGCTTATAAGTAGCCTTCTGGGGCAGGAGAAGGAGCCAGGCATCTCTCTACTGGATTCTAGCCCATATGGAGACTCTCCAGCCTGTTAATTTATGACCTCCGTTTTTTATTTTTATTTTATTTTATTTTTTGGCTGTGCTGCACAGCATGTGGGATCTTAGTTACCCAACCAGGGATCGAACCGGTGCCCCCTGCACTGGAAGTGCAGAGTCTTAACCACTGGACTGCCAGGAAAGTCCCTAGATTTTTAAAATTCTTTGAAATATTCCTGTTCATTTTGTTACTTGTTAATTTGTGGCTTCTCCACTACACCCTGCCCACCCTGAGAGAGCTGGAGGCCCATGTGTCTTGGTCACTGCAGTATTTTCAGAACCCAGCACAGGATGTGGCACACAATAACTGTTCAGTAAAGTGAATCCTTCTGACAAACAATTAGTGAGCACCTACTGTGTGCAGAACATACTGGGTGCCCTGGACACAGACCTGGTCCCTGCCCCCATGGAGCTCACTGGGCAGTGAGTGGAGAGGACATGGATTCCTCCATCCATTTAACCAACCAACATTTATTGAGCTCCTACTGTGTGCAGGCCCTTGGGCACAGGGATGACTGAGTAGTCACCCTCTCGGGTGACCTGAGACACCCCCATTCTGTCCTCTCAGGGCTCACTCTCCAGTGCCAGAGACAAGAGTTATGGGGAGACCAGGCCTGTGATGAAGTGTAGGGGGCTGTGGAGGCCCAAAGGGGACCCTTGACCAGCCTGGGGGGAATTAAGAGAATCTTCTGGAAGGAGGAAGTAAGCTGACACCAGAGGCCTAAGTCGGAATGAGCCATTCGTGGGGAAAAGTGTCCCTGGGGATGGGCACAGCATGGGCAAAGGCCTGGAGGGGAGACCACGTAGGGAAGGGCAACTTCACACACGGCCACAATTCCTGCT